TTTTTTATTTTTTAAAGTCCCATCCAACCACAATATGTTTCCCCTGGGGGTAATTTAGTCAACTCATGGACTCCGACACAGTATCTACAGCCGAACAGAACGCGGTTTACTCCCACTAATCAAAAGTAAACATGGGCAGAACAGGGAATTCACGTCCTTAAAATATTATTATGCTTCCTCTTTAAGAATCTCGTTGCAGCTCCGACAATGCGGAAAGCATATGCCTTTCTGTTCCTCTAAGAAAACCCGAGAAAATTTAGAGAGAGAAACTCACGGTTTCAACGGAAAATAGAAAGAAAGCTCGAGAAAATCTACTGAGCTCAGCCAAACATAAGGTATGTATTTCTTTTCTGTTTCTCCATTAATGTCCTTTTCGAGTCAAAGTTTTAAATTTTCTGCCATTTTTTTAGCTTCAAACGTCAAAATAAATTATTTGGGAATTCATTTCGCTGAAATTCCTTGGTGTTTGACTTTGTTTTTTTCTGGGGAAAGATGCCATTTTGGAAGATGGGTGTTTGTTGAAAGGTTGAGTTTTGAATTGGGGAGAATTGGGTCTTTGCTTAATTGTTGATGATTTTTGGTTTCAGGTGTGTTTTTTGTGTTGAGGTCTGTGTTTTTTGGGGAAATATTTAATGTTAGATCGTATTTGGATGGAGGTTTTGATTTTTTTTTTTTTTCTGTGAGTTGGATGGTGTTTATTTAAGGAATTTATTGAAGCTTGGATTCCTCAATCTGAGATTTTGCTATTTGGATCTTTTCTTTATGTAGCGAAAGAGAATATTTTCATTAGTTTCTTTAGACTGATTTCACTTTACTCTTCCAAATATGATTAACTTCGACTAGAGTCATTAGACTTTCAGGATTTCTTGGCCCAATTTTCTGGCAATTTAGTAGGTTGAGTTTTTCTTTCACCTTGTTAAATTCTCTTATATAGTATAAATTTGATTTAATTGCCTTGGTGAATTACAGACTTAACATTCTTTTTCTATCAATTTCCCAGCTTGCCGGTTAACAGTCTACCAGGGGAAGGTGAAACTTTGACACATGGGGACGATATCTGAATCAGAAGTTGAAAGCAGTTGCAGCAAGCCTCTTGGAATTCAGTTCTTAGAATTGATAAGGAGACGGAAGCTCTCCTACAAGGCCTTCCAAGCTATTGTCTTGTTTGTAACTTTTTTTGCTTATGCCAGCTACCATGCTGCAAGGAAAACCACCAGTGTTGTTAAGAGTGCTCTTGATCCTCAATCATCAGATACAGGGTTGAAGTTCCCGTTGAGGATGAGTTACCTTAATGAACCAGCCGAAAACAGAAAATTTTCTTGGTTGCTTAGTGATGGTTGGGCACCATTTAATGGATCGGATGGGACAGCTCTGCTTGGTGATATCGACCTAGCTTTCTTATCAGCCTATGCTATAGGAATGTATTTTTCTGGTCACTTGGGTGATAGAATGAATTTAAGAATCCTTTTAACAGTGGGAATGGTAGGAACTGGTTTGTTTACCTCATTTTTTGGTGTTGGTTACTGGGCAAACGTCCATAGCTTCTACTATTACTTGATTTTACAAATGCTTGCTGGTTTGTTTCAATCAACTGGGTGGCCTTCAGTCGTTGCAGTTGTTGGTAACTGGTTTGGAAAGAAAAAGAGAGGGCTGATCATGGGCATATGGAATGCTCACACATCTATTGGGAACATTACTGGTTCTTTGGTTGCCTCAGCATTGTTGAGCTATGGATGGGGTTGGTCGTTTGTTGTTCCGGGTCTCATTATTGCTTTCATTGGAATGGTGGTTTTTCTCTTATTGCCTGTTAGTCCTGACACTATTGGTGTTGATAGAGAAGAAGATGAATTGCATTCTCCCAAGAAAAGTGGAGACAAAGTATCTGAGCCTCTACTGAGATCAGATCCCGAGCTTAAGGAAGAAGCTGTGGGGTTCCTAGAAGCATGGAAAATCCCTGGGGTGGCTCCATTTGCATTTTGCCTCTTCTTTGCCAAGTTGGTTGCTTACACATTTCTCTATTGGCTCCCATTTTACATTAGCCATACAGGTATTTTGAATTTTCTTTGTTCTTAATTCTACTTGTTAGTTGCTATGTTGGATTCATTTAGAATTTTGCTCTGTTTAATATGCCTTCTTTTTTAGATGCTTGTTTGCCATTCCATATATGTTCCTCATATATGAAATGTACATCGTCTTTCAATGGGAGACTTTTCCTTTCATCTACCGTAATTCCAGTCCCAACTAAAGTGTAGATCTTATTATGTCAACTATATTTTTTAATTTGTAGTCTTGAAAATATGCTAAATTCTTGGATTTTGAAAATAATATTACATTAATGTAACTGTAATGTCATTAAGTAATCCTCTTTCATATTCCTCCATCTTGCAGCCATTGAGGGGAAGTATCTATCTAGTACAGCAGCTGGAAACTTATCAACAGTGTTTGACATTGGAGGGGTGCTAGGAGGGATCTTAGCCGGCCACATTTCTGATCACCTGAATGCTAGAGCTATAACTGCTGCAAGTTTCATGTATTGTGCTATCCCTGCTCTCTTTTTCTATCGTTGCTATGGACATGTTTCCTTGGCAATCAACATTGCCCTCATGTTCATTACTGGAATGTTCGTCAATGGGCCTTATGCTCTCATAACAACTGCTGTCTCGGCTGACCTGGGAACACACAGTTCGTTAAAAGGGAACTCAAGGGCGTTGGCAACTGTAACAGCTATCATAGATGGAACAGGTTCTGTGGGGGCTGCAATTGGACCAGTATTGACAGGTTACATTTCTGCTAAGAGCTGGACTGCAGTTTTTACCATGTTGATGGCAGCAGCTCTGGTCGCAGGGCTGCTACTTACTAGACTTGTTGTGACTGAGGTGGCTGCAAAGATTTCTGAATCAAGATCAGAAGGAGGATCAATATCAAGCTCCGGAGAACTAGATGTCTGATGCATTAGGGGGCGCACAGGCTTTTGGATTTCTATTTTTATGGTGTGCTACTGTCTGGGTCTACTTAGCTCTTGTTGTAAAATGAATAGAAGAAGACCCTTTGATTATGGCTAGGGCATAGATGATACATTTTACACACCTCCATGATGTTTTACTTTGATACTTGGAGGATTACTATTTTTAAGGAGGAAATGTTACCAAAAAGGAAGAAAAAAAAATGATAATGCTCCTTACCCATCTCCATTTGTACACGTAATGTATGTTGTACAATTCTAAGCACCGCCATATTGAAATGGTGTCTGATTTAGAATCACACGTTGGTAATTTTTCTTTGGATTATCAGTTAAGAGCAAGGTTGAGAATCAGGCCAGCAATTATCCTGTATGAAATTAAAAACATTTGGCTATATATCTTTATATTAGGAAAAGAAATCTTGATTCTTGAAGAGTGGACTGTATTATTTGGGATTCAAAATGAAAGGAACAAGAAGACTTTTGCCCAAATTGAATGTGCACCTATCAAGATAAAAACAAGATTTTGCCTAAGAATTTATCACCACTTGTGAGGTTGTGCAAGGTTCTTCCCCACTAGTTGCCTTCAAAGAAGCATCTTTTTATGGCCACTAAAAAAGGTTTGGTCCCAGGTTGGTTATGATGAAGAGGACAAAAACTTTAATGGGTTATTTTTGAAAGCAAGGCATGGGACGTTGAAAGTTGAAACATTATTGTGCAATTGCTGGAAAATTATGGCCATAAAAGAGATGCCTTCCGTGTTCCCATAAAATTCACTTAAACCCAAACCATAAAAAATTCAAGGGCTGAATGCAACTCAAATTGTTGACGTTGTACTTAACGCCCTCCCCAAATCCCCTACTTTAAAAGAAAATTAAAACCAAACCATTAAAATTCGGACCACAAAAAGAATTCGAAGAGTCCAAAGTAAAAAAATGATTGTTTTGTTTTTAATCAAGAGGAGAAAGGGAAAGGGGAAATAAACATTTGGACCTAAAAGGTTAATGCCTTATCATCCACTAAATAAAGGAAATGTAATCTTACCTATTTGAACACTAGATCCTTCACTTAATTGATTCTTTTGATGGGCAATTAATTAATTTGAAATTCTAATTTAAATTAATTTATTAATTAAAATTTAATTAATCAATCTAATACTACAAAGTTATGTGTGGATAACAATTTGATCTTAAATCCATTCTTTGTCTTCAAACCATGAGCTTGATCACATTAATTAGTGCCTCCAACTCACCCTATTAAAAAATATCATTTTTTTTTGTCATAAATCTATATTAAAAAATAAAAATTAACTTTTAATTTATTAACTGTTTAATTAAATTTATTTATGTATGACAATAATATTAAAATTAATATTAATTTTTATATTTTTTTATATAAATTAATCACAAAAATATACTATTAATTTATACTATTAAAATATGGATTAAAAAAACCATTAAAAAATCATTACTCAAAATCTTATAACTTGCTATCTGTTTAATCTTCTTCGTACAGCAGGAATGGGATATTGCTGCCTAAATTTTTTCTTCTTTGCAGCTTTCTCCCACGTGATTATGCTCAAAAAAATTCAGAAGCAGCTCTTCTAATTTGCATCCATGGCATACTTTATATGAAACATATTTTGAAGGATAAAACTTAAAGGGACTATTTGGTTAGAGCATGATTTTATCCGGAAAGGTTTTATTGACAAAGTAGTTAGAAAAATATTATAAGAAAATTAAAAACAACTATTTGAAAATTTGTTAAGTTTTATAATGAAATTTTATTAAAATTTTATTTAGTTATTAATTTTATTGTGTGTGGTAAAAAATTAATATAGGTAAAGTTGTTAACTAGGCTTAATAAAAGGATAATTATATAAAGAAATTTTCTTTTCAAAATTTGTGGGAACTAAGAAAAAAAATTTTACAAGTTAAAAATTGTGTCAAAAAAAAATTAAAATTAAAAATCACTTTTATGTTTTTTTTATTATAGTATTAATACATAAAAATATATAAATAACCTTATAAAAGGAGGGGAACGGGTGAAAGTTTTCCAAGCCAAACACCCCCAAAGGCATTGTTATATCATGGAAATATTTTCTCATTCCCTCACCTTTGTTGTTCATTGTAACAATATCAATTAACAAATTAAAAAAACTAATGCTGCTCTTGATTTTGATGCCTTTTAAAGTATACAGCAGGAACCTGGAAGAAGCCAACAGCCTAACATGGTGCTGGATGAAATAGGAAGTTCGGGGACCTAACGAACATACATTGTCCTGGTAAATAAATAGGAAGTAACCTCAATAAACAGCAAAAGCATGCTTTCATTATTGTTTTCTTTTAGCCTTGACTGGGGCTACATCTGGTTGGTCCTCTAGTAGCTTATGCCTTGCGGAGTGAATAGCCACGACACTAGTTTGATGTATCATAAGAGAAAATTGCAAATGAATTTCATACAGGTGATTCATGCAACGCAAGAAACAAGAACATCAGATTAAATAAAATAAAACGATTAATAATAACATTGATGTAAAGTCAAAATTGATATATCTAATTAATTCTATTGAGAAGAAAAAACATTTAATCAAATGAAACGTCCAACATTCATCACTGTGAAAATCTAGTTCATGCCCCCAATGAAGCCAAGTTCTGCACATATTGAGTTAACCCAAAATGAAAAAAATTGGGAGCTAAACAATATCTATAAGGGCTATGGATTGCAATTTCCTTGAACGATCCGTCTTTCAAATCGAAAAGACCTAATCCAAATTTACCGCATTCACTTATCAAAACTTGCCCACTTCCGGTGAAAGCCATGGGATATACAGGTAGATACACAAGATCCACATCACCAAGTTGCCCAATTTTGGGTATTCTAAACAACTTGATCCAAGATTTTGTTTTGGTTACCTGGTTTTCCTCCATTACCCACACATCAGAATGAATATTATCAAAAGGCTTGCCAAACAAAGACAACCTTCCAGAAGTCCCAACACACTATTTTGTTCAGTCAAGAAGTCATTGCCACATAGTGATGTTTCTTCCCTCAGTTCATCTCTTTCTAAATCAAAACACAATACCACAAGCATCCCAGGTACCTCTTTCCTGACCATCCAGTAGAGACAATTATCGACAACCATTGCCTTTCTATTGTAAGTAGATATGGTAAATTGGTAATCTACACTCTGTACACCAGTGTTCAACAGACCTGTCTTCAACCTCATGCTGTGGATCTTTCTTGAACCTGTGATGAATACAACCCTATGATCATCAATGGCGGAATCATACCCAAACCCAAGACCTTGGTAGTTTAGCTCTAGAGATAGCATAAATCTCTTATGTTCTTTGGTAAAAGGATTCCAAACTACTATGATGGAGATGGAGGAGGATAGATGATATTGTGAGCATGCATAAGATACCATCACCTTGAGCTATTAACAGAACAAAATCCGTTGCTTCCAGGGGACAGGGGCGGAGGCAGAAATTTTTTTCAAGGGGGCAAAAAACTAAAATTTTCAAAGTTTAAGGGAGGCTAAATAATTTTTTATATATTAATTTGCAAGATTTTCAAATTTCAGGGGAGCGAACCCTCCCTCGCACCACCTGGCTCGGCCACTGCCAGGGGATATTCAACATTTACTGCTTCAAGGCTCCCTTCACCCTCGAAAGAACTCTCTGTTCTTAAAAACAATAATGTAGTAGATGTAAAGAAATTCTCGTCAGCAAGATGATATTTTATGAATTTGGAATTGGAAAATAGAACTCTCCACCTTTTGGTTAGGCATTTGAAATGCATTAGAGATGTTAATGAAAGTCTTGAAAAAATATCAATAAGAAGATCTTGTGGGAAATACTTCTTCATAACTGAAAATATTATTGTAGTTTTTTACACAAGTAAGGATTAATAAAGGATTAATAAAGGCCAAATAGATGCCAATGAAAAGAAGTAGAAAAAAAAAAAAGAAAAAACAATGCGCAAGGTGTTAATACTACAAAGGGTCATATACAAATAAAATAATTAATTCTATTGGAATTAGGATAGTCATTATAAATTTTACTTGAATTATGATTCATTAATTAATCCTATAAAATTGAGAAACTTCTACTAGTATTTTATAAATTCATCTATACGAACGTCGAAGTAAGTGGCATTTTATAAGGACTCAACAATTTTTTAGAACCCTTGTAAATATTAAAGTCTAGCAAATAACCTACTCGTGATGATAACCTATTCCTAATGATCCACTTTGTAAATTACTTGAAATCAAATCTAATTCATATCATAAACCGACTAACATATGGAGAATCATTCATACAAATTTATCTATCAAATTCTGGTTAGTCACGGCCTAGCATTGGCCTAAGGAAGCCGTAATTAACTTGTATAATAATAGGAGGCAAAAGATCTATTTATTAAAAAATATTATAATTATAATATTATGTGATATTATAAATTTATAATCTAATAAATTATTATATGAAAGCAAAACTGTGAAGAAATAGAGATTTCAAAAGAAAAACTGTGAAGAAATAGAGATTTCAAAAGAAAAACTGTGAAGAAATAGCAATGTGTATAAAATTTCACTTGTTCCTACTAAATTGCTGTATATTTTAAAATGAGTTGTGATTGGTTTTTGTTAATATGAAAACAACTCTTCAATATTCTTAATCATTTATTTATTTGTTTATTTATTTTTTATTTTCAATTCTTTGGAATGCCTAATTTTTAATATGTATGTAGCATTTTTAAAGTCAAATTCATCTATGATTTTCTAAAACATAGGAGATGGTCAAGATTTTGCAAAAATTAAAGTTAAACTAAAGTGAATAATTTCAAATTAAAATAAAAAAATATCAATCTATTAGGATACCATGTATTTTAAATTTCAATAATCATAATATCACCAAAAGATTCAAACCTAATTACTCAAATTTTTTTATGTTGGTTGCACAATGAGAAATAATATTTTTTTTATCATTTATTTCACTCTACCCGCATTTCATGCGATTTGAATTCAAAACTTTTACTTCTAGTAAAAAGAAATTATCACTGAATTACTTAGATCGTTAGTAATTACTCGATTTTTTAATTACTTAAAACTCTTAATTTAAGGACTTAAAAGTACACTTTTGTAAATTTAAGGGTTTAATCACTAATTTAAATTTATTAATTTTTATATTTTTTGTTTTTTAATGGTGTATACCACTCACAAATAAAAAAATCCCACAAATTTGTATAAGAATAGTAAAAGATCATAATTTTAACCAGCTAGAATGCCCTCAAACCCCAAAATAATTTACAAAATTGTTACATTTAACTTTCTAAAGAGATAAAGAAAAAAAGAATAGAGAGAAAAATGAAGAAAATGTTAATTAAGCCCCCTTATTCTTATTACTCCTTAGATTAGTTTGTAGCTAAAAGAAAAAACCTTCTGTTTCTTTTTGGGTGCCCTAGACCTTACAATCATTAAATAAAATCATAACTAAATCCAAAGGCCTTTTTAATTTTTTTTATTTTATCTTAGAATATGAAATAACTTTTCTTCATTTTTTAATTAATCTCACTCTCACTCATATATTAAGTAATTTAAATTTAAAAT